GTCAGAGGCTTTTTCTGCACCTGTTGAGGTGATCATGTGATTTTTATCCCTGATTTTATGTTGAACTCTCCTTGCATCTTTAGGATGAAGCTGACTTAGTCATGAAGTATGACTTTTTAAATTATTTGTTTAATTTGGTTTATAATTTTCTTATTGGGGATTTTTCCATCTATGTTCATCAAAGATATTGTTCTGTGGTTTTTTTTTGTTGTTGTTGATTCCTTACCCTGTTTTGTGTCAGGATGACACTGGCTTTATGGAGTTTGAAAGCATTCCATTCCCTTCCATTACCTGTGAAAGTTTGCAAGTATTCATGTCAGTTCTTTGCTAAAATTCTGGTAAAATTTAGCAATAAGTCTCATGGGTCCTGAGCTTTTCTTAGTTGGTAGAGTTTATTACTGCATTGATTTCATTGTTTGTTATTGGTCTCTTCAAGTTTTTTATAGCTGCTTGGTTCAATTTTAGTAAATCATAGTGTCTAGAACTTACCTTTTCCTGACAGATTCTTCAGTTTATTGGAATATAAGTTTTCAAAATAGTTTCTAATAACCTCCTGGATTTCAGTGGTGTTTTTTCTAATTTCATGTTTTTTCATTTGTAATTATATTGATATGGGTTTTGTCTCTCTTTGGTAAGTTTAGCTAAGGATTTATCAATATTATTTATTCTTTCAAAAAACCAACTCTTTGATTCATTGATTGCACTTTTGCCTCCATTTCATTAATTTCCACACTGATCTTTATAATTTCCTTCTTTCTACTAGTTTTGAGTTTTGATCCTGTTTTTTGGAATGTTCAGATAGATGAGGTCTCAGGGAATACCCTCACCTCTGCCTCTTTCTTATGCTGACCCAGGACTCATTGGTCAGCTGAACTGTCCTAGCAGGAAGCTTCTTACCAGGTACACTGCAGACCTTCAATTTTTTCTAAATTATCCTCTGCCACATCCAGGGTTTCCAAAGTGTTTCTTTCCCTCTCATTACCCTGATCAGAATGTATTATGATGACCTGAACAAATCTGCTAATGTAAATCATGTACTTCATGCCTCTCCCAGGGGTTTGGCCTCTGTCATCTGTCCTTTCCTACAAGGATGACAACACAGGGCAGTCTTAGTAAGGAAATATCTGGTTCCCTGTAGATACAGTGGTAGAAAGACAATGACTCTGCCACACAGCCTTCTCCTAGCACTGACACTTAAACAACCACAAGCTCATTAGTAGAGATTTCACCAGGAGTATCTCAAATGTCCTCTGAAGAGTGACATTCAGGTAGTCAGGATTTAAAGTGCCTCAGTAGAACTCTAGTCTCCCACAAAGTCAAGAGGAACTACAGGAGTGAGGGGAGAGCATAACCCAGCAACTACTGGCAATCACCTGCACAGGGGGTTTGCGTGGGTGGCAGCTTATGGGGCCCAGGGAAGAGATTGGAAACACCCAACCCTAATGTCCCAACATCCCAGAGGAGGAGAAACACTGTAACTGACGGAAATGAAATAAAACCATCAAAAATGGATGTAATAAGCTAAGGATATTGTGACACATATCACAAGCTACTTGTTCAAATATTACAGTTTTTATTTGAATAAGAAGTAAAATCATTATAAAGTATGTGCTCCAATATCTTTTGTTTATTCCCTTTCCACCAAAATGTCCTCTCTAAACCCCACCTTGGGACAGGTAATTCTCAGGTTTTAGTCTAGGAGGGCTCCTTCTTGGCTTCACCATAGGCCCTGTTAAAATAAAGACTGGTTTGGTGTTCCTGTTTTAAAAAAAATTTATTACAAAATATACACACCTAAAAACTCTACAAAACATAAATGCACAGTGCAATGAATCATTTTAAGGTAAGATTATATTGTATGTCAGAAATAGAGCATATTGTACACTCCAGAAATGTCCCATGAGTCTCCTGCTGGTCAAGATACCCTCTCTTCCCTCCAATCTCAGAGTTGACTACTATTCTGACATGTGGTGACCACTTTCTCACTTTGTATGACATTTTTCTTGTGCATGCATAAATCTATCCACTGTAGTTTCACCTTGCCTAGTTTAAACTTTGTATAAAGTCACATTGAATGTAGTATTATTGTTTTGGTTTATATGTTTGTGAGACACATTAATGTAGCTTCATGAAGAAAATATTTTATTTATTTTCATAACTGTGTGTATTCCATTCTATGCATATCCACAATTTGATGAGGCACACTACTGTTGATGGGCCTTCCAAGTGTTTCCAGGGTAGGGCTATCATGAATAATGCTACTATGACTTCCTGAACATGTTTCTGGTGAAAATGTGCACATGGTTCTCTAGGGTATATACACAGGAGAAATGGATGATGGAAGTAGTACCTCAGTCTTTCTCCAGTACCTGGTGAGATTAACATCTTATCATAGGTTTATTGATCACTTGAATTTTCTATTTTGAACCAAGGCTATTAAAACCCTTTGTCTATATTTTATTGATTTTTTTATCTCCTTCATATGATTTATAGAAGCTCTTTATACAATATGAATGTAAGTCCTTTCTTAGTTATATGCATTATAAGAGTCTTTGCTCATTCTATGCATTGTCTTTATTCTCTCAACTTTAATATATCAAATTGATCAATCCTTTCAGTATAATCACATATTCATAGTGTCTATGACCTTCCCTTATCATGAAAATATGGTTATATTATATATTCTAATCTTTATCCACACTTGGATACCATAATCTACCTAGAATGGATTTTTTAATATGGTATGAGATAAAGTCAAGCTTTATGCTTTTTCACATAGAAAATATGTGACTCTTATTTTCTCAGTACTATTTATTGGGGAGAAAAGAATAGTCTTCCCTATTATGATAGTGGATATATACACCACCACAAATTAAGCATTCATATAAATATATGTCAGTGTCTACATGTGTAGGGGTCTGGCTAAAGAATCTGTGCCTCTTTATCTCATCAATATAACACCAACTTCTTACTATGGCTTTATTTTATAAACAAGTCCTCCATCTTAGTCTTATTTTTTAGTATTGTCCTGGCTATTTTTTGCCATTTGTTTTTTCCAAATATATTTAGAAAGGGTTCATTTTTACAAATTATTTTTCAGGTTCAACAAATACATGGGTCCCCAGGTGTAGTGATGCATGCCTATAAACCCAGCACTGAGGAGGCTGAAACAGGAGGATTGCTGTGAGTTTGAGGCCAGCCTGGGCTATGTAGTGAATCTGAGACCAGCCTGAATTACAGAGTGAGACCCTGTCTCAAAACAGAAAAAGAGAGAGAAAAAAAGAAGAAATATATGAGTCAATTTTAGGAATAAATGACATTTTTATATTTCATCTCTAATTCATAAGTATAGAATCTATGTTTAAGTCTTGCTGTATATCTCTTCATCTAGTTTTATCATTTTTACCAAAGGTATATTACACATAGTCTTTTAGATTTATGCTTAGTTTGACCATTACATGCCATATAAATATTAATATTTTTAATTTTCAGTAGCACTGTTACTGAACATGTAGAACTATGACTAATTTTTTAAATTGCTTTACTACCAAATTTGTTAAACTTTTTAAATCATTTTGGTAATTAAACTGTAGATTTTTCTGCAGCTGGATTCTCTATGTATACGGTCACCTCTCAGATCATTACAATTTTGCTTCCTCCTTTCCTGTCCTTATAACTTTTATTGCTATTGGCTGCTTAACTGCACTGGCTAAAACTCATAGTATAATATTGAATACAACAAATGATAATTTGTGTCCAAGTATTCTTGTACTGTTTTCCTCTGAAAGAAAAAACTGCCAACACTTCACCATTAAGTACAATAAACCTAGGGCTTCTGTGGATAATTTTTACCAGATTAAAAACTTTTTCTTAGGATATATTTGTGACCATAATAATTGGAATCACCTTGGTGAATTAGTATATACATATGTGGCATTTTGATCATCATTATTTCCCTTCTTCCACAACTTACCCTTTCTCTACTTCCCCAGATTCTTTTCCCATCTCCACAGTCCACCTCCCTCCTTGATTCCTACAATCACTCTTTTATTTGCTCTTTGGATTATTTATATTTTGGGTTTCTTATATAAGAGAAACTGAGATATCTAGCCTTTATGTCTGATTCATTTAACTTAAAATTATAATCTTAAAATGCACTCATTTTCCTACAAGTCACTCAAACTTATCCTCTTTATGACTTATAGCATTTCTTTGTATACATTTACCACCTTTTTATGTATTTCTTTGTTGACAGGCATAATTTTTAGTGAGGATATGTTAGACTCAGCTGATTTGAAAAAGTAAGTATCAGTAACAAAGCTTTGTTCTCTCCTTGTCTTTCCCCAGCAGAACACTGGAGAATGGCTATTCAAGCTGCCTTCACAACTCTTGTAAAGAAACAGGAGTAACAGCAGGGTGGCCTTGGGCCACAGGGTAGAGACAGCCAAGTTTCCCTCTTTGTTTTCTGCTTCCTTTCATTTTTCCTGGTGTTCTCACACACATTCCCTATCATACCAGGTTTTATTCACCCTTGTCCAAGCCTTACTAAGTATATAGGAATACATATTCCAAAGAATTTGTATTAATTAAGAGAATGCTATTCCAAGGGACAGACATTCTAAACTCACAGGGGTAGACAATGGTAAGGGTAGGCAGCTGCCACCTTTTGTGTCTTCTTGGAGGTGTTGGGGGCTTGGGTGGGTTGAGGTTTCTGGAACACACAGCTCCAAGGCCCCTTCTTGCTGCCCTGAGTTCCTCTTTCTGCTGTCAGCACTGACTCAGCAACTGAGTGGGAGATCAGGACGTTGGCCTGGATGATCCCCTCTTGCCCAGAGCACTGGCAGTTGGTGGCCAAACCTCCTAGGCAGCCCTGGAGGTTGCATCACCACACTAGCAGGACAATGGGACTGTGAATTCTCAAGCCCCCTCCTACCCCTTCCTTCCTCTCTCAGAGGCTAAAAGTCTGGCAGGGGGAGAAACAAACAAGTGACTGAGCAGACTTTCAGGCAAGATGCAGCCACTCGTGCTCCTGTTGGCCTTTATCCTACTGCCTGGGGCCGAGGCAGGTGAGTGACCAACCTCAGCCTCAGAGGTCTGACCCCATCCCACAGACTCTGGGGTCACACTGCCTTGGCACATCTTAATTCCACATGTTTGGGTATGCATTTTAATTCATATCTCCTGTTTCCTCAATTACTAAATGGGGAAAATATTGGTAACAACCTTATGGAATGGCTTCAAGAGTTAATTTTTTTTTTTTTTTTTTTTTTGGTCTTTTTGAGGCAGGGTCTCACTATGCAGTTCAGGCTGGCCTTCAGCTCATTTTGTAGCTCAGGTTGGTCTCGAACTCACAATGATCCTCCTGCCTCAGCCTCCCAAGTGCTGGGATTACAGGCATGTGCCACCATGCCCGGTTCAAGAGTTAAATTACTAATATACACAAGTCTTGGGAAATTGCCTTGGCATATAAGTGCCATATAAATACAATCTATTCAAATGCATTCTGTAGCCCATGTGTCAAAGCCCAGGAGATAAAGATACAGCAGTAACAGTTCCATCTGCTCAAGTCTAGCTTCTTAGATGCCTGTCTTATGCTGCCTCTGAGGTAGTCTCAGAGAGGGAAGCTCTCTGAGGAAGAAAGCACCAGTGAACTTCAAGGAGAGCACATGATTATAGCCTCTCCCCTTCACACCTGAAGCTGAAAATGGTCTTTCCTGGAGCAACCATTGCCCTCCCCTTTCAGAGGAGGGGAGTGAGACGAGGTCTGGGATTGCTGTGATGTCTGCAGAGCCTGGGAGCCATCTCCCAGCACCGGGTGCCCTCACTGTCAGCTCCCCTCTCTCCTACATCAGCTCCTCTGCCCTCCCACATTTCAGACTTTCTGAAGCCCCAACCTGTGCCTGCACCGCAGTTCTCAAGCACAGAGGTAAGTGCTGAGTATTTCCTTCCAGGGGAGATCATCGGAGGACAAGAGGCCCGGCCCCACTCCCATCCCTACATGGCATTCCTTCAGGTGGAGAGTCCACAAGGTCTGAGCAGTTGCGGGGGATTTCTTGTGCGAGAAGACTTCGTGATGACAGCAGGCCATTGCTGGGGAAGGTGAGGATTCGGGAACTTCTGGGGATGTAGCAGCACAGACACAGGAGAACTCCTCAGAAGAGCCATCTAAAAGCAGCATTACTGTAGGAGTGAAAGGATGAAAAGAGACCAGGAAGGGGGTGAGGGGACAGGATGCAAGAGGCTGGTGTAAAGGAGGAGAAAAGAACAGAACATGAAAGGCATGTATTGATGCTCAAAATATGAACTCAAGCTATTTTACAATTTATTCTGTAGGAGCAAACATTAAAGTCACCATGCCCTGTTATCCCAGCTCAGGGATGCTGAGCAGCAGGGGTCTAGGCTCAGCTCTGGAACCTTTCCATCCCCTCCTCTCTCCAGCTGCAGTCCTGCCCCGCCTGGGGATGTCTGTGGCACTGCAGCTACTGACCATAGCTTCTGCTTCTTATACTCACCCATAGACCACCTTTTGCTTTGCAGCACCATAAATGTCACGTTGGGGGCCCACAACATCGAGAAGCAGGAAAGGACCCAGCAACAGATCACTGTGCTCAGAGCCATCCGCCACCCCAGATATAATAATAAGACTGCCCTGAATGACATCATGTTACTTCAGGTACTGCCTGTTTGACCCTCTGACTTCTGGGCCTAGTGTGGTCTCTCCCAGTGTGGCAGCTTCAATGTGTCCTGGGACACTGGTGGAGGAAGCAAAGGCAGACTCCAGGGGAGTGGGTCAGGGGAACATGAGGTGAGTACTATACAACCAGTCCCCAACCATTGGTTGGGAGTCCCACCTCCTGCACTCTTCCTGACAGCTAAGGAATAGAATCAGGCGGAATCAATTCGTGAGGCCAGTGGCCCTGCCTAATGCCGGGGAGAAGCCTAGGCCTGGAGCCTTGTGCACAGTGGCTGGCTGGGGCTGGATCAGCCTTCATGGGTGGTCAGACAAACTCCAGGAAGTGCAGCTGAGAGTGCAGAGCGATCGGAAGTGCACCCGTCGATTTCCTTCCTACTGCAGCCGGACTCAGATCTGTGTAGGGGATCCAAGGCAAAAGAAGGCTGTTTTCAAGGTAAGCACATGGACAGCTGCCAATACTTTCTGGGACAATGGAGTCTTGGTAGAGATGGGGCAGTGGGAACAGACTCCATTCCTCTACAACCTCAGTCTAGCGGCCAGACCAGATCAGGGTGGGGTGGGGTCTTTTTTCCATCAATATAATCTCTGGAAGAATGGAAGGAAGATTCACAATACACAGCATTTTCCTGGAGAAGGTGAAGGCACCTTGAATCTGATTGATCTTGAGACAGTAACCACAGCCAAGGCTTCAGCCATGCCACTAATAAATCCAGACACTGCCACCCTACACCCCCACCAATCTGCCATTTCTCACACATAAACAGTTGAAGAAACTTATCCACCCTTGCCTTTTCTGACAAATAGGGTTTTAGGGCAGCAAGAGCAGGGGGGCCTAGCTTAGTGTCCTGTCTCCTCTCTGCCTACAGGGGGATTCTGGTGACCCCCTAGTATGTAACAATGTGGCCCAGGGTATTGTCTCCTATGGAGACAAAGAAAATGGGACTGCTCCAGACGTCTTCACCAGGATCGCAAGCTATCTGTCCTGGATAAAGAGAATAATGAGACGCTTCAAACAGCAGAATCAGACTGAAACACCACCCTCTTCCCCCTGTGACTGACACTTTTACCCTGGGGCACAGGTAGTTCCAGGGGAGCTTTAAAAAATGTTCATCCAGAGTGCAAATATTTGTTCATTAAACAACACTTAGTACTGTCTCAGTCTGTTTGAACTGCTACAACAAAATGTTGCCTTATAAACAACAGAAATTTATTTATCCCAGTTCTAGAGGTTGAGAAGTCAAAGATAAATTCTGTGACTGGTGAGGACTCACTTCCTACTTCACAGACAGGCATCCTCATATGATAGAAAGGGTGAAGGAGTACTCTGGGGTTTCTTATAGTATAGGCACTGATCCCATTCACACAGACTCTGCTCTTATGATGTAATTGGCCCCCAAGGGCTCTCCCTCCAAATTTCATTGAACTGCATATTGAGTTTTAATGTAAGAATTTTGGAGGAACACAAACACAAAGACTATAGCAAACATGCAACAAATGCATGTCACAACTGAGTTGAGCTCCTCCAGGAAAATGAAATCAAATGAAACTCTGCTCCCTCCCAAGATCTTGTAAATCAGAATGAGCTTCTTTTCCCCTTTAACAATATGGTCCTATATTATTCATTTTTCTGTCACCAGGACAAAATATCCAGCTGCCAAAACTTAAAGGAGGAGAGATTTATTTTGGCTCATGACTTTAGAGGATCTAGTCTATGTATACTCAGCTGGCTACCAGGTAGAAACGGCATGGTAGAAAGGCCTGGTAGAGGAAAGCTCCTCACCTATGGTAGCCAAGAGCAGAGCGTAAAAAGGAGGAGCCAGATATAAGAACATACCCTCCCAAGGCACAACCAGTGACCAACCCTCAACCAGGCCCCACCTCTTAACAGCACATTCAGCTACAAACTCAAGGATGGATTGTTCCACTAGTGAGTATAGCACCCAATAATCCAGTCACCTTACATATCCCCAACTCTGAACACATTTAACTTTTGCGGGACATTTTGGATCTAAACCGTAACAGTTCCCCTCTCTCCCAGGTCTTACTTTCGCTGCCATCTTGGGGCACACTGGAAGGACAGATCTCTCTTCAAGGCAATTTTCTCTTTACCTGATGAGACAATCCCCTTTTCTAGATATTGAAGCATGTTCTAACTAAAACCATGTATCATGGACCACTGATATCCATAAGACAGGTGGACACAGGGAGCAGACTTACAATTCCATTAAAGACCTAATTTAATATAAGCTGTACTCCAAAATAAATATCAAATGAATTACAGATCTGCATGCAAAAAACAAACTATACAAGAACTAAAAGAAGAAAAAAAATAAAATATTTGCAAGGTTAAGCAGATGCCCATGTTCATGGGAGCCAATTCACAATAGCCAAAAGATGGAAGCAAACATAGTTTCCATCAACAACCATGGTTTTAGTCATAAAACTTTACACAACATCAACTGCACAGTGCTGTAAATAAACAAGTTCACTGTCAAGATGACAAAGTCTGCTTCACACTTTTAATATTCTGAAGTTACACAAAACTCCACGTAAAATAACTAAAATAACAACATTTACCCTAAAGATTAGACCATGACTGTATATATCAATATTGTATTCAAACAAAACTGAAAGCACATAATTTTAAACCAAGCTATAAACATTTTAAGGTAACCATACAGAATCAGCTGGGAAGTTTTTCTAAGTACATCAAAATGTCAATTACTCCTTGATGTGTGCCATTTACCATCTGAATTTCTGAAGTACTATAATCTTAAATGGAATAATCACCATGCAGAAATCTTACCTAGTTCAACTGGTTATATGCATAAATGCTTTAGTGAATGGAAGTCATTTGTCTAGCTTTCCATGTAAACCATTTATCAACAAAATTTTACTCAACAATACATCTTTGGCAATCTTGAGTCATGCTAACTGACCATAGGAATTCTCTCTTACTGGTATGCTCTGAGGGATGATAGCCTCATTATTAATTATTTGCACTGGCAAATGGAAAGAACACTTTCTGATGTGATGGAGGAATGGGCAGTAGAAGAGCTCCCCACTCAGCCCTTCTCTCTGTGACATTTCCTTAGAGCCCCCAAAGCACTGCCCAATCTCAGACCCAATCATTTCAAAACCCAAGGGAAGAGATATTTTATATCTTTCTGTCCCTGTCAGCAGCCCCTTGTCCCTGGCTTCCCTGCAGTAAAGGTTTTTAAGGACTCCCAAAAGCACATTATACATTCTGTCCATGAGCAGTCTCTAACCACAACTTCACTCTCCTTGCTTTTTCATATCTTCTAGCAGCTCATCCCATACACATCCACACTCACACACATGCTCAGGACTTACACTTTCCTCTCACTGTCTCACCAGGGTCCTGATCCTCTGACATGGACAAGTCTTGGGAGGAGGTGCACCAGGAAGGCCCACATATCCACATAGTATTCTCCTCATGACTAAACCCATGTGAATGGGCACAACAAGCTGGGCTAAGGGAAACATGAGGAACCAAGAGACCACTCACCACACCAAGACCCATTCTTAGGGAGACTCTCACACCTCCCCAACCAGGTGCACACAAACTTATTAACCATTTGCTGTGATCCTTGTGGAGACAGCCAGGGCCTCCTGTGGTGCCAGTCTACCTTATGTTCTGGCAAAGACAACTCTGGGATGAGTCCTGGCCATTCTGTCCCAAGTTCAAAACATACTCATTACTCAATCACTCACTGGCCTGCACATATTTTGGCTCATCCCTTCTGCTCACAGCTAGCAGCCTGGCTTCTAGACCACTCCTACCACTGCTGACAGCAGCACAGGGCTATTCCTTGGGTGGGTGGAAGATTCTGTGTCTCCATCCATCAAGACATAAGTGGTTGAAAGGAGTTTGGGATTTGCAATGTGATTGGATCAGGGGCACTGTACTCATCAGGGGATTCATTCATCAATGGGTTCATAGTTGAATGTGCTAAGTAGGTAGGGCCTGGTTAGAGGTGGTCACTATAGCTGCTGGAGTAGTGCTGAGTTCTGGAGATACAATGATGACAACAAAAAGTGCTTAATAACCTGGTGCTCTAATAGCCTTAGTCTGTATGCCACAGCTCCCTGGGCTTTGTTCTTGGGGTCTCCTGTGACCAAGATTGAGGTAAAAACTCAATAGAAATGTAAGAATATCTAGTTCTAGCTTCAATACAACTTCCGTTATTTAATCACATTACTCTCTGTTGCTATCATTTCACATGACCATAGAAAATGTGCATGACTGGAATTCATGGAAGCTTGTCACATGTGTCAAATCATACAGCACTCGAGAGAAGAGAAAAGGAAAGGGATTAAGACCTCATTCCATCACTTGGAATCATAATATATCAAAGGTTTTAAATATGTCATATTGGGTCATGGTTAGGCTTAGGGTTAAGATTAGGGTTAGGGTTAGGATGAGGGTTAGCACCAGTAACCTTTCTGCTATCAGTCCAGTCCTGGTCTCTTCCATTCTGGAGATTGTGTTCTTCCCATTCTCTTTTGTCCAAAATCTGTAGCTTTATGACCATCCGGGCTTCTGTGACATATACTGGAGAGGATATTTCACATGGGACTCTGAGGTCCATCACATTCTGCCTCTGAGCTGGCCTCGGCCTCTCTGGGTCTTCCCACCATCTGCACGTTTCCATTAAGTGATAGAGTTGGAGTTGTCTAGGTATCATCAGGAATCTCTCTATTGGTGTACTTTAAATTTTAACCATCCAGTTCTGGAACCTCAAGAAGAGGGAGAGCAGTGAACTTGCAATAATTGATAATAAGAGTACAGTGCTCAGAAGAAAGTGGCCTCAGAAGATTGTGTGCAGGGAGCAGGGCTCAGAGGGCAGCTGTCCTCAAAAGGTCAGGAAAATTTTTCTCATAAATAGAGGTGAAAAATCTCTCAACAGTACATGTAATCAGACAAATAAAGAATGATCAGAATCAAGATTTACTTGTAGGTAGAATATTTCCCAGGATGACTAGGAATCATCTTGATTTTTATATTCTATCAGCATTGTTTCAATATTATCTTCAGCAGTATAAGAACTCACAGCTACATTATGACCCAGTGTTGTCATGTGCAGTATTTTACAAAACCTTTTGAACAATCAGAAGCTTAAATGTTTCTTTGGACAATGCTATTACAAGCAATATCATTAGGATAGGTCATTTTTTTAGAATCAGAAAATGGAAATAACAAGTTGGTCCCCTTTTATTCTAGGAATGATCATACCTATAATCATTTCATCTAAGAGAAACAGCCCTAAAACATTCATGTGCAGGGACATCACACCCAGGGCCCTCCTGAGAAGCAGAAGTAAGGAGGCTTGAGCCTCCTCTCTTGAGTTCCAGGCCACTGCGTAGCCTGGAGCAGCCTTCAGGAAACAAAGAAATCATACTCACTTCCAACACTTGACCATAGGAAACGAATGAAGGGCAGGATCTGAGCCTCTAAGTCTCACCTGTTTTGGCTGGGCACCTGCAATCAAGACAATACTCTGCAGAGTTGTGAGATACCTCATCCTGCCTTAGGGCTAGACTAGGTGAAGATGGCCACAGCCAAGGAGGCTGCCTGGGGTCCCCTGGCTGATGGCATGGTTTGGGGCTTGCTCCATGAAGGAGAGCTAGAAGTATAGGGGTGGTACAAGGAGAATAACCTTGTTCAGTCTTGGGGACAGCCCTATAAACATGGGTAAAGAACAAAGCTAAATTCATAGGCTAGTGTTCTCTAGTGTCTCCAGGACAGGAATGATCTTAACCACATGTCTTGGTTACTTTTCTCTCATTGCTGAGACAAAATACCCAATGCCCAAAATGAAGGAAGGAAAGGTTTATTTAGCTTACAGTTTGTGGAAGTTTCAGTCCATACTTGGCTGGCTCTGAGGCAGAAGGTAGCAAAGCAACAAGAGCAAAGGGGGAAATGGCAGCCAAACAGCAAACAGTCAGAGCAAAAGGGAGAAATGGCAGCCAGCAGCTTCTTTCCCTGCCTTACATTGTAAATAGGCTACCCTCACCTAAGGGGCATATAGCTTTCACATAATCTCCATGCCCTCCTCTTCCACAGGCTCAGGATGTATACAAAGTAAGCACCCTGGCTTCCTGCTGAGTCACTTAGCCAA